CACCCACCTATGGAGACCTGAACCACCTGGTGTCAGCCACCATGAGTGGAGTCAACACCTGCCTGCGCTTCCCTGGCCAGCTGAATGCAGATCTGCGCAAGCTAGCCGTGAATATGGTGCCCTTCCCCCGTCTACACTTCTTCATGCCTGGCTTTGCACCCTTGACCAGCCGGGCCAGCCAGCAGTACCATGTTCTCTCAGTGCCCGAGCTCACCCAGCAGATGTTTGACGAGAAGAACATGATGGTCGCCTGTGATCCCCGCCATGGTTGTTACCTGACAGCAGCTGCCATCTTCCGAGGCCGCATGTCCATGAAGGAGGTGGATGAGCAGATGCTCAAAATGCAGAAGAACAGCAGCTACTTTACAGACTGGATTCCCAACAATGTGAAGACAGTTGTATGTGACATCCCCCCGTATGGCCTCACGATGTCGGCCACCTTCATCGGCAACAACACTGCCATCCAAGCACCCTTCAAGCGCACCTCAGAGCAGTTCAGTGCCATGTTCCGGCGCAAGGCATTCTTGCACTGGCATACGGGAGAAGGCATGGATGAGATGGAGTTCACTGAGGCTGAGAGCAATATCGACGACCTGGTGTCCGAGTACCAGCAGTACCAAGATGCCACTGCTGATGAACAGGGGGAATTTGAAGAAGACTTGGTGGAGGAAGAAGTTTAAGACTTTCCATTGGTAGCAGTGCAACAGGACTGTCAGAGCCTGCCTACTACTTCTCAAATGAATGGTGCTTTCTGAGCTCCTGTTGTTGTGCAGTGAGGTCCCTGCTGTGTATCATCATGCACAGCCTTTCCGGTCAGGAACTCACTGATGGTGAATGTAAAAATGCAGATTTAAGGTCCCAAAGTGAGGATGCTCTACTCCTTCCCCAATGGAGAGACAAGCCTCCAAAGATATATGGACAGCACCGAACTTTCTCACTAAGCCCTAATCTACATGCTGTTCCATATACTGTCAACAATAACGGGTCCAATTACATTCCTTGCAATTCTGGGAGAGCTGAAAAGTGTTTGGAAGCACAGGATGCAAACGACTAAATAGACCAACACAGAAATTCGGCGCCTTAAAAAAAAATTGTTTTTCAGGGCTCAAATTCTCCATGATCTACATCTTCCTCAAAGGAGAGATAAGCCTCTAAATACAAGTAGACTGCATCTTTCTAACCCAGGTTTCTCCGGTCTGCATAATAGCTTGGCTGAAAGCCACTTATACTGTCCATCCACAGTAACCAGTCCAATTTTGTCTTCAAATTCTGGGAGAACTGACCAGTGTCAGCGAGTTCAGCATGCAAACGAAAGTTTGAGTAAAGCAGAGAAAGTCAGATAAGGTGATGTTAATGGAATGAACCCTAAGATATGTATTCGAATGTTTTTTATTTGTTTTCATGTGATTGTTTATGACACATTCATAAGATCATTTCTTTTTTACTATGTAAGTCTCTCCACCATTTAATAACAACTGTTTCACTGTATTTCATGTCGGTATAATTTGTGGAGGGGAAGGGAGAAAACGATTCGTTTCAATAGGGATATAGGTGGACCCATAGCAAAAATACGATGTACAATACGTTATGTCCAAAACGAACTTTACAACATTGGTTTGCGAGTGGTGGGGGGTATGGAAGAGGGGTGCACTGTGGGGT